ACACATTAGAAAAAATCCAAACCTTTAACATCTCTAATAGAATTCTCGGTATATATCCCGGTGTAGGTCTATTAATATTTAAGCAAAGTATTTATTCTCACAGAATAAAAAGTGCATGACCTACACGAAAAGGTGTTGGTAATAACAACTGCCTTATTAAGTGGTAAAAGGCATCATACATACATTCTTACCAAAAATAACTAAATAAGAAAGGCATCATTACGAACCTTGTCCGAAGGGTCAAGTAACTTAACCACATTTGTAAGGTTAATATTACTTTTCAGAGCAGCGGTTCGAATTAACCTTATGATAAAAATGTTTAAAAAAAAAATAAAAAATCATTACATTCCCTCCAAAAAAAAAAAAGGAAAGGCATATCATACACGTGTCGAAGTCTAATTAGACGAAATCTTGACTTGTTGTGCATGCACCGGAATTCCCGACTGGGCTTACGTGTACTTTTTTTGTCCTGGCATGGCAGGATGTTCCCAATCCCAATACCGAACAGCAGAACTATAACTTCTATATAAATATCCGTTGAAACCCTCCGTTCTGCTTAGTTCTAACATCGCTAACTTAATTTCCGATGGATTCAGCTATGAAATCGGTCTTGGAATTCCTCCGCAACCCTCCTCCGCCTTCCACTTGGTTCAACGCCTACGCTTCCTTATCCGGATCAATCATGATTCTCCAATCAATACCCAACCCTATTCCCCCACCCATCCGAGTCTTCCTCTGGTCCAAAATACAAAAATATTTCTTCAGCTACCGCAGCCGCTCCGTTGCCGTCATCACCGTCGAAGAGTCCTGGGGTGCCGAACGCAACCTCCTCTACTCCGCCGCCGAAGTTTACCTACCCACCAGGATCTCCCCTGCAAGCTCAATTGGTGTCAAAATGGGAAAAATACGCTCCCAGAAGAACATCTCCGTTGCCTTAGCCGAAGGCGAAGAGATCGTGGACACCTTCAACAATGTCAAAGTTACTTGGCGTTATGTTTGTACTCAGCAAACTGAACAAACCAGAACTTATATTCGTGTCAACTCTTATTCTTCAGGGGAGAGGCATTTTGAGTTATCTTTTGATTCCGAACACAGAGAAGAAATCGCCTCTGCTTATTTACAACATGTCATGACCACAGCGGCGTTATTGGAGCAAGGAGATAAGGAGTTGAAGATAATTAGTTGCAATTACTATGATTTAATGGGTGGTTACTCCCAAAGTAACTCCACTTCTTTGCAACATCCTGCTTCTTTTGACACCATCGCCTTGGACCCTGTCCTGAAACAGAGCATCATTGATGATTTGGATCGGTTCTTGGCAAGGAGAGACTATTACAAGAGGATTGGGAAGGCTTGGAAGAGAGGGTATTTGTTGTATGGTCCTCCGGGAACCGGGAAATCAAGTCTGGTTGTGGCCATGGCTAAGCATCTGAAATATGATGTGTATGAGTTGGATCTTAGCAGTATTTATGGCAATTCACAGCTGAGGAATGTTTTCCTACGCATACCTAGCAAATCTATCATCGTGATTGAGGATGTCGACTGCTATGAAAAGGCCCAACGTCGATCCAACACAGAAGATGACAACCCTCTTGAACTTTTCCATAAAAATAAGGTCAGTATCTTATGCATAATACAATTTTTAACAAATTCAAACGGACGAAAAAATTACTAGTCTAACAACTACTTTGAATTCCACATATAGATTTTTCTGAATGGGGAACTGATTCTTTTCTTCATCTTTTTTTTTTTTAATTTCAACATCATGCACGTGAGCTTTCGGGTCTACTGAACGCCACAGACGGGCTCTGGTCGGGCTGTGGGCAGGAGAGGATCATCATATTCACCACCAATCACAAGGACAAGATTGACCCTGCATTGCTTCGTCCTGGCCGGATGGATATGCATATCGAGTTGTCCTACCTAAAACCGTCGGCTTTTCCGGTGCTGGCCTACAACTACCTTGGTCTCCGTGACGGCGATCACCCTCTTCTTGAAGAAATCCAGAACTTGTTGGAGTACACAGAGGTGACTCCTGCTTCTGTTGCGGAAGCATTGTTGAGGAGCGAGGATGTAAATGTCGCCCTTGGAGGAGTTGTTGAATTACTTAAGCAGAAGAAGACGGCGGAGGTCAACGACGGGGAAGACGACGGCGAAGACGAAGACGATGGCGACGACGAAGACGATGATGCAGCAGCAAAGAAGAGAAAATAATCTGAAACTATTGAAATGTTTTCCTGATTTTTTTTTCTTTCTGGTGGGATATTAATTTATGTATATTACCAATGGAAGATGAATTTTAATATTTTCTCTGCAAATTTGCGTTCTCTTCTTCTTCTTTACTTCCGAACGTCGCTTTCGGGCCGAAATAAATTACCGGCCCCTGTCGGAACTCATTTGCCAGGGTGGCAGATGACGCGTGGAAACAGTACGGGAAAACTCTTTTTTTAAAAAGAAATTTCTCGTGATTAAAACTGAGGACCACAGTTCCCTTGACCCTCAAAAAATCCCCAATCCAACACCAGCGGAACTGCCTGCTGAAATGCCTCCGACGGCAGGTGAAACACAAGGGGAAGATGGCGGGTCTGCTTCTGTATCGCAGCGCATCATCAAAATTGGCAAAATTCCCGACTATGGTGACAAAAAGGTACGGCCTTTACCTCGTTCTGTAGCGTCAACGCTCTGTTTCCTTCAGCTTTTGCTTTTGGGTTCTACATAGTCATTTGATGCTTTTGGGGATTGTCATACTCATGGGCTTCAGGCACTCTTAAGCAGAAAACGAATAACATCCGAGCTCAACCTCCTCTACTCCGCTGCCAAAGTTTACTTACCCATCAAGATCTCTCCTGCAAGCTTAGCTCGAGTCAACATGAGGAAAATACGCTCCCAGAAGAACATCACCGTCGCCTTACCCGTAGAAGAAGAGATCGTGGACACCTTCAACAATGTCAAGGTTACTTGGCGTTATGTTTGTACTCAGCAAACTGAACAAAACAGAACTTATAATGGTGACAATGGCTTCTTTTCTTATTCTTCAGAGAAGAGGTATCTTGAGTTATATTTATATTCCGAACACACAGAAGAAGTCGCCTCTGCTTACTTACAGCATGTCATGAGCACAGCTGCGTATTGGAGCAAGAAGAAAAGTGTAAGGATTGGTCCGAGGTTAATAACCTCGGACGTACTGTAGTAATTTCTTAATAGTTGAAGTGAAGTTAAATCCAGCACTTCTGGTCAAATGGCTGCACAGTAACTACAGGGGCATGCCCATATCTGATTTATCACATAATCTTTCGGTCCCGAATTTATCTCCACATATCACACTCCGGTCATCCTGCTAAACAAGCCATGTGGATACCTCACGAATGCCTATAAATACCCCCCAGGGTCACCTCAAAAAGGTAATTGAAATCATCTTAAAGCTCTTTTTTCATTAGTCCAGAGATAGACCCGATTATTACTAACTTAAATATTGGAGTGTCTACCCCGATGACCCACCTCAGGGCTTTGTAGGTTCATCCGAAGTGAAAACGCAGACTGAAGAAGGACCTCTGGTTTGGTGCAATTACATTTGGCGCCGTCTGTGGGAACTCGAATAAAAAGCTTTATTTGTATGTTGATCCGGTTGATCGGAGGGAAGAGAAGATGAGTGAAAGGCTCATGGCTGATTCTTTTGAGTCGCAAAAGTAGATCTGGTGAATTTACAAAATGGGTTTATTCACTTGTAAAGAAGAGAAGCTTTCACAAGAAGATAAACAGAGGAGTAGATTTGCACAATTATTGAAATTCAGCCTTGCACAATTATCGAGAGCCTATTTAATAAAATAAAAGGTACATATGGTGTAATGTCAGCCATGAATATTCAAAGAAGGAAAAAAAATGTCAGTAAAGCACATGTTCAAGGCAAGTCAAAGTAGTAAAAATATGTATATATATAAAATAAATAAATAAAGAAAAAGAAAAAGACAAAAAAAAAAAGAAAAAAAAAAGAAAAGGAATAAAGGCATGGAGTTGGGGGAGATGACATTCAACAAAGTCGGTGGAGTCATCAATTGGTTCCTCGACCATATGGTTGTCGCCACCCGCACCATCCACCAACCCCTTAAGCTCTCCAACCTTGTCATCAAAGTTCGAGCTGCTCGAATACCATTGTCCTCAGCTCATGAAGAACTCCCAACTCGGCAACAAGAAGCATTCTTCCAGCTCCGCAACGACAAAATAGTCGCCCAGCTCAGCAACACCAAGCATTCTCCTAGTTCGGCTTCCAACCACAAGCATCCTTCTTGGGCAATAAACCATTTGAGTTTGGTTACCACTTTGTGATTATTGGGGAGACAAATCTTAACCTTTTCATTATTTTACTTTGTTTTTTTATGTTGTTTTATTTTCTTTTGCTGTAAACCAAATTGGAATCTTCCACTCTTTTGAATTTGTTCTTACAGAATCCAAGGGATAAGTCCCTAACTAGGCAGCTTGCCAATAGCAAATTAAATCCCTCCAATCAGCTGCTAGGGAGCAAAAATCTATGGTTCCAATGATAGAAAAAGCTGATGGTAGTGTTAAAGATGGAAGCTCGGGAGGGATTGGACACCACCCTTCAAGATGACAGTTAAACCACTACTGGGAAAACACATGTTGCTTTGAGAAGCCAGCAGTCTCATCTCATGCTCGGTTGAGAGCAGAGGCATTCAACCGCCCACGTCGCATCACCGAACCATTTGGAGGCGTGAAGAATTTACCCGTGAACACACCATGCACATTTGCAACAGCCTCCTGTTCCCCATTCATGGAAGGAAGAGAGCATCTACACACTGCCCCAAGTAGCCCCTTGGGAGTTCGACAATAACGAGCAGCAAAGTCCCTGCTGGAGCATGAGCTGCGCGCTGACAAGCTCAAACACAAGCTGCCGAAGTCAACCACAAGGTGCAGAACACGAGCACCAGCTGCACAGCTCAAACACGAGCTGCTGAGGTCAACCACGAATTGTAGAACTCAAACACTTGCTGCCGAGGTCAGCCACGAGCTGCAGAGGTCCACCACGAAGTGCAAAACCTGAGCACAAGTTGCAGAGCTCAAACACTTGCTTCCAAGCTCAACTACAAGCTGCAGAGGTCAAGCATGAAGTGCAGAGCTCCAACACGAGCTGCCGAGCTTAAACACGAGCTGCCGAGCTTAAACACGAGCTGCAGAGGTCAAGCAAGAAGTGCAAAGATCCAACACGAGCTTCTGAGCTCAACCACAAGCTGCAGAGGTCAAGCATGAAGCTGCAGAGCACAAACACGAGTTGCCGAGGTCAACCATGAGCTGCAAAGGTCGAGCACAAAGCACAGGGGTCAAGCACGAAGTGCAGAACTTGAGCACAAGCTGTAGAGCTCAAACACTCACTACTGAGGTCAACCACAAGCTGCAGAGGCCGAGCATGAAGTGCAGAACTTGAACACGAGGTGTAGAGGTCAAGCATGAGCTGAAAGATATGCAGCTAGAGTTGCAAGGTGTCAACACCCTCAACAAGGTCCGACACTTTTCCTGCATTCGTCCTGATGAGTCCGTGTCGGGTTTTTGTCCTTCTCTGCAAATTTTGTTAACGGTAAAATTACAGTCCCGACCCTTTACTCTTGAATTCTGCACAATTTAATCCTCAAATTTCATATCTTTTCAATTTACTCTTAAGGATTGTGACTTTTTCCAATTAAGTCCTCTTCAGCACAGAATGAAAATTATGCAAAATTAAGTAAATTTTCATAAAATTCATCCAAATGTCAATAATGTCAATGCATAAATTTTACATTAATATGTATATAAATTTAGTTGATCAGCCATGTATTGTTTTGAAAATTAAAAAAGATGAACTTGTAATCTTTTTCTTTTATTTATTTTATATAATATACTTTCTTGATCATAAAACTGGATGCCTTTGATTTCTCCTTTTTTTCAAGTCCTTGTGATACAGGTTGTCAAGAAAGCAATTAAGCTCTGCAACAAATTAGAGCTTTGGTCCAAGCTTGGTCTAATCTTATATTAAAATTTATTATTAATTGCTTTTCGCATTCTTTGCATTCATTCCACATTTTTCCATTCATTCTGCACTTGTTTTTGCACTCATGATATCATTTTGCCATCTCATTTTTTATATATCATAATCATGCTACTTTGCCCATTTGCACTTATGATTATAAATATCCATTGCTATTTTAGAGATGGAAAAGTACAGGGACTCCATGTGGGGTGGGTTCTAGAGAAATCCCTTTATGCTGAACTCCTCCATCAAAATTATATACGAGCTATGAACAACTCCTCCATCCAATTTTAAAAGGCTACAGGCCCCAACCATAAAGCTCAATAGCTTACAAAGATGATCAAGTAAATTTCTTCTCTGGCATCATTTATGAGAGGCTAGATTTTTTCTCTCCACATTTGCTCTTGAGTCACAGCAAGAAGGAGTTAACATCATTCGTAAGAAGCTAAATTCTTTCTCAAGTTTCTATTTCATCAAGCACAATTCTTTCTCAAGTATAAATTAATTATGCTCTGCAAGTCAAGTAAGTGTTACATATTAAAATTTTCAAAATTACTTTGCACATTTAAGATTTTTATGAGTTATTTTGCATGTCTAATTTTTGTTCTTATATTTACAAGCTAGAAAGACTTATTATTACAACATGCATGACTGCTTGTTTATTGGACATGTTAAAGCATAAAAATGCAAATAATGTAATTTATGATTACAACGTTTATGTTTACTAGCCCCAATGTGCGGGTTAAGGGGGGAGAAGAGTCATTATTATGACTTCTAATAGGAAGCTATGATTAAAAAGTGTAGTTTCATAATTTACTTTAATTACAACTATTAACTGTGATACTGAGCTTAAGATATATATGTGTATATATCTGTACCCTTATCATATAATATGGTTAGCCTTGGACTTTAACAACAGGAACTTCATGTGCTGACTTAGGAACTTAAACAAGTTCATAAAACTTGGTTGAGCTCATCCTCACAACCCATTCCGAGGTGAAATACCTTGGATGAGGTAAACAACCTCGGATGAACTCAATTATTTGAACTCATCCTTACAACCCATTCCAAGGTGAACTACCTTGGATGAGGTAAACACTCTCGGATGAACTCAATTACTTGAGCTCAGCCTCATGATAGCCTATTCCAAGGTGAACTACCCCTGGATGAGGTAAACAACCTCAGATGAGCTCAACTACTTGAGCTCATCCTTATGACAACCAAGCTCAGGTCTAGTTGATTAGTTAAAATAAGGAAAACCTTGAAATATTTCAATATAATAGCCAAGGTGATCCATGAAGTTAGGTGAGACATTCAAGGATGTCACCTAATAAAATTTCTAAAACACCCAATGAAGAATATATATATATATATTATGAACTTTTATATAGTGTGGAGGCCTTGTGGGCTATAGTCTATTAGAACAAGCATACAATAAATTAAAAAGAAATCTAAAACAGTGGCACTTAGCCTCCTAAAGCCACGTTAATCATTTTGAATCTACTCTAGAGATCTCGGCTTGTAGCTAGTTGGTTTACTTCGCCAACTTTTCAAGTCAACAAGCTTGCAGCCAACTTGCCATTTCACTAGCCATCCTGTTCCACCTCTCATGGGTCATTAATTAATAAGATATGTTAAGCCCCTATTTATTGAATATATTGAATATAATATATTCTTCATGTTTTAACTAAAAGTGAGTGGCTTAAATGACATTTATTTATACATTTGTGGAGCCTCCTACAAATGGTGGAATAATTTATAAGCTAATGGTATCCACGAGCTAGTGGTCTTTATTATTAGTTCTAACTTAAAGAGATAAATCTCTCTTTGAGAGGGGGAGTGGGAATACATAAACATAAACTTCTATACTTTACTTGGCATGCATTTAATTTTCTGCTTGAATAACTCAACCTGAGTATATTTTAAATATTCATATCTTATTATTGATGACTCATGCCACAGACATTTATATTTAATTCTAAATTATTGTGCCACTTTAATGTTGATGCATCTCATATATTATTGATTATTGATGAACTAATGGTATCTTGTCAAGTTCTATGTTTAGAATGAATTCTTACAAGTCTCATGAGTTTGTTAACTCCTTGGCTTGGAAGACTCAGAAATATGTTATCAGCTTTTAAACCTATCAGTTCATCAGAAAATACTATTGGCCCTTGAGCCCATTAGCTATTGGCTTTTTTAGCCCATTCGATCTACAAGAGCTTGCGTCCATCAACTATCAGCTTCTCAACTCATTTGTTCTATGAAAGCTCAGTTCAATCTTAACTCTGCAAAGCACAACCCTCAAAGGGGTTTGATTTTATGCTATGACTCGAGAGACCAAGATTTTCTTATGGGCATCTCAAGGTGGGATTTTGTGGTAGGCATCTCTAGCTACCAAAATTGGCATTCAATCAACTCTACAAAAACTGGTTCCGATCCTAGCTCTATAAAGCATGACTCTCAAAAGTCTGACTTCCATTATTATGGCTCATGAGGTTGCAAATCGTCACTTTCGAGTCGTCATTTTCAAGTCATCATTCTCAGCTACAACCATAACACATGACTATGGGTCATGCATCTTTACTTCAGCTACGGCCATAGTGACTCCGAGTCACACATTTTATTTCAGCTCCAACCACATGACTTCGATCATTACTTTTATTTCAGCTCCGACCCTTATGACTCCGGTCATTGCTTATTATCTCGACTCCGGCCACATGACTTCAGTCATTACTTATTACCTCGGCTTCGGCCACATGACTCCAGTCATTACTTATTACTTCGACTTCAGCCGCCATGACTCCGGTCACCATTATTTACCTCAGCTCCAACCATAGTGACACCAAGTCACCAGTTCTACCTCGGCTACGGCTATAGTGACCACAAGTCACCAGTTTTACTTCGGCTTTGACCATAATGACCCCAAGTCACATATTTCACTTCAGCTCTGACCATAGTGGTCCCGAGTTACATATTTTACTTCGGCTACGGCCATAGTGACCCTGAGTCACCTATTTTACTTCTGCTACTGCCATAGTGACTATGTGTCACCTATTTTACTTCGGCTCCGGCCATAATGACCACATGTCACTTATATTACTTCAGCTCTGGCCATAGTGATTGAGTCATCAATTTTACTTCAGCTATGACCATAACACATGACTCCATGTCATGCAATTTTACTTTAGCTACGGCCATAACACACGACTCCATGTCATGCATTTTTTCCTTGGCTACGACCCAAAACACATGACTCTATGTCATGCATTTTTACCTCGACTGCAACCAAAAACACGACTTCATGTCATACATTTTTATATTGACTACCCCCATCTACACTCATCTTCCACACTAATTATTCACAAGTGAATGACTTTGAGGGGGGAATAGTGTAAGGATAGGTCCAAGGTTAAGGACCTCGAACGTACTGTAGTAATTCCTTAATAGCCGAAGTGAAGTTAAATCCAGCACTTCCGGTCAAACGGCTGCACAGTAAATACAATGGGCATGCCCATACCTAATTTATTACACAATCCCCCGATCCCGAATTTATCTCTTTAAGGGACACGTCACACTCCGATCATCCTACTAAACAAGCCATGTGGATACCTCACAAAAGCCTATAAATACCCCCAGGGGCCACCTCAAAAAGGTAATTGAAATCATCCTAAAGCTCCTTTTTCATTAGTCCAGAGATAGACCCGATTATTGCTGACTTAAACATCGGAGTGTCTACCCCGAGGACCCACTTCGGGGCTTTGCAGGTTCATCTGAAATGAAGACGTAGACTGAAGAAGGACCTCTGGTTTGGTGCAATTACAAAAAGGAGTTGATGATTTTTAGTTGCAATGACTATACTTTATCCTGTGGTTTGTCCAATAGCAACTCCACTTATTTGCAACATCCTGCTTCTTTTGACACCATCGCCTTGGACCCTGACCTGAAACAGAGCATCATTGACGATTTGGATCGGTTCTTGGCAAGGAGAGATTATTACAAGAGGATTGGGAAGACTTGGAAGAGAGGGTATTTGTTGTATGGTCCTCCAGGAACAGGGAAATCAAGCCTGGTTGCGGCCATGGCTAAGTACCTGAAATATGATGTGTATGATTTGGAGCTTAGCAATATTTATTGCAATTCACAGCTGAGAAATGCTTTCCTAAACATATAAATATATTTTTTATTTTAATGATAAATGAGATTGGATCTATTTTGTTGAAGGAAGATTTTAATATTAATTGGATATAAATTGAGAAATTCATCAATTCAATCAAACACCGAACGCCAGAACTGCTATATAATTTCAAGCCCTTGCTGCTTTCAACATCAATCAAGAATCTTCAAACTGGAAATGGCCAAAGAAAGAAGAAAAAGCCTTCAATAATGGTTGCGATCTCCACAATCCGCCTTTGCCTTCCACACTGTTTGTGTTTAACGGATGAAAATGCCTTCCAAGTTATAAGACCCAAAAGGAAATCTTTTAAAATTAATTCCTCCTCAGATGATTTTAAGAGCTGTGTTTCGACATTAATATATATTATATATAAGAAAATTAGTTATTTTAATATTAATTTTAAGATTTAAATTTTTAATCTCACTTTTTTAATTAAATTATTAATAAAATTAATGTTAATTTTTATTTTTAATTTACAAAATTGATTATTTTTATTTTTCATTTTGGCATAATCACCTGAAGTTGATTGTTGGCCAAAACAAACGCACAAGTTGGTTTTGGCTATGGTTATGGCATTATGACCATGTAATTTTAATTGATATTTTATCAATTTAATTATTCAGAACAATTAAT